GGACCCCACGCGCGCGGAAAGGCCGGTCCCCTCCCAACCTTCCGAGTCCGGACCTCGCCCGAACGAAGGCGGCGGGAGGCCGGTGGCGGGTCACGGGGCCGTCGGAATTGAAAGCCAGGATTTGGGGCGCCACAGTTTGGGGGCGCTGGGGGAGGAGTCGGCACTGATCCGGGACTGGAGGGGACATTAACTGCCACCACTTATTAAAACCTCGCTCTAATAAAAAGAGAGAGTGGTGTCCGCAACAGCTGGCCCGTTTTATGTCCGTAGGAGACAAATTTAATCAAGAGATCTCCTGCGGACCGTGGAGGGGGTTGGGGGAGGCCCCAAAAGGGAGACTTGGAGTAACGGAACCCTCCAAAATGTCTAGCTGCCCTTGAGGTCAGAGAAGGCAGGCGGCTAGGAAGGAGGTGAGTCGAAGATTCCGATTAAGGGAACACAGTGCGGTGAGGGGTGTGCAGGCGGAGACTGCTGCACTCCGGGACGGGAGAGGAGGAAGCCCCAACCTTTCCTCCCCTTTAATCGAATGACTCTCAGCCCTCGGGTCACCGGGCTGGAGGCGGTTTCTAGAATTTTCCCAGACCTGGGATGGGTACAGAGAGGGTTAGCGTCTACCCAGGGCAGCCCAGCGCCCTGCTGAAGCACCCCGTGGCACTTGAGCGGGCTCTGGAGTGAATCTCCGATTTTCCTGGAGGGGACACTGAGCCCAGAGTTTCTAGGAGGTGGCTAAGGTCCCCACAAGGGCCGGGAAGGGGGCTCCAGACTCCCACCCCAACCCTCCCCCATGCACAATTTGACTAATGACCCCAGATCGATGGGGGCCCCAGCCTCCGGCCTGCCCCGCCGGCTCAATGCTATTTTACTAATTACTAGGAGGCTGCTGGTGGGGGATGCAAGCGCTGGCTCTCTAGGGGGCCACAGCCTCTCTCTGGGGGCCAGAAATGTTTGCTCCATTTCCCAGGGGAACAAAGAGTGAGGTCCCTGCCCCTGGACGAGTGGAGTCCCCGGGCCTAAGGGCGTGGGGTGCTGCACACACCTGGGTAAGGTCCTTCCGTGGGCCTGGGAGACCCCTTCCAGGGCTAGGGGGTGAGGTGCTCTGTCCAGCCTAGGGGGTCCAGAGGTAGCAGGCGGGAGGGACCCCCCACCTCAGAGCCATCAAAATGGATATTTCAAAACGGATCCTTTCAGCGTCAGATCAGCCTTATAAAAATGACAGTGATGGCAGATCTGTAGGAAATACAGTCTGTAAAGTCGTGCCTCGTCCCGAGCCCGCTTCCCCCCTGAGCTCCCCACGGGACAACTTCCTCCTGCTTTTGTTTCTCACCCGCCCTTCTCACCACCCCCATGCTGCCTTGGCTTTCTGGAGCTGGGGATGCTATCATTTTTATGGCGGCTGATTGATTTTTTTAGACCCCACGATTCTTTTTAATTATCTGTGATTGTTGCAGGGTAGGGATTGGGGAGCTCAGGCTGGGGCTTGGCGTAGCCAGACTGCCCTCCCTCGTTCTCCAGACTCGGAATCCTCCCCGGGGAGGGTTGATCTCATTTCCAGACCTGCCCCTTGCTCCCCAGCTCGGTCTTCCCACCTGGAAGATGGGTGCGATTGTGCATAACACCAGTAATTATTCTCAAGGCCTGGAATGGAAGAGTCTAAGGACCCGTGCTCCTGGAGTGGGTGCTGTTGGCATTTGGACAGAACCACAGGGACCAGAAGGGTGGGCTTAGATGAAGCCTCCCTCGCCTAGGGCCTGAGGGACCTTGAGAGTTGGGGTATAAACAATAAGGTTCTTCCTAAGTGCTGAGTCCTAAGCACTCATGGGGCCCTGTTTCCTACCCTGTCTGAGGCCACTCCCTTCAACGACCCTCCCCACAAGACCAGGGTCTCAATCGACCACTCCCCCAATTCCCTGGCTCTCAGAGGCCCTCCTCCCTCTCCAGTAACTGGGGACCCTCTTCCAGCCCTTGGCCGGGATGGACTGGAAGGCACCTCCTGACCTGTCATAGGTGGGGAAACTGAGGCACAGGAGGGGAGCTGGTACACAGTCAAGCCTGGGTACAGGCCTGGGAACATCTCTCTTGTGTGGCCAGGTTGGGACCTCAGAGTGGGCCAAATTGTGCAGGGAAAGGGGGTGCAGAGTGCCTGTGGTGCAGAGTGGCTTTCTGACTCAGACCCCTGTCCTCTTCCCGCAGAGGCGGAGGTGGAGGATTCCGGAAGAAAGCCCTAGTAACTCCTCCCTCCCTTTCCAGGGTTCCCCCAGAGGCAGATGTCCCCGGAAAGAAGGACAAGAGGCTGGGGCTGAGTTTTGGGTCCTCCCTGGCCCTGAACTCTGCCTCCCAGATGGGGGGGGCCCTTCTCCCTCACCCACATCTTACCCATTACAGGTGTCTTGTCCCAGAGATGTTCCCCGATTATAGGAAGGCCCTCACCCTACTTCCCAGGGGACTCTGGGCCTCACCTGTGGGCCCGCAGAGAAGAGGAGCAGCACCTCAGCCCCCACCCGCAGGAATTTACAGCGGGGGCTTTTCAGGGGACAGGAGGCAGGGGAGACCCCCTTGGGGTCCCTGGGCTGAAGGGTGACAGGTGCCCTTTAGTCACCCCTAGGCCAGGCACACTCGGACCTGGGAGGAGTCTTTGGCACCCCTGAGGTCGGGCATTCCATTGGGCATTTGGGAAAACCGAGACTCAGGTACCCACACGTGGGGGAGAACCCGGTCACCTGGGATGAGCTGGGACGGCCACTCGCCCCGAGGGCCTCGCTCTTTCCCCATTTCCTCCCCAAGAGGTCGAAGAGGTCGCGTGAAGGAAGCTGTGTTGCCCCGTGTCTGCACAGGAAGATCTTGCAGGAGCTCTGTCCCTGGGGGTTTATGCAACAGGGGTGACCCGTGGATCAGCCCTAAGCGTCGGCCACAAGCCAGGCGCTCTCTGGAGATGACCCTCGGACTCTGGAGAGAACCCCAGAACCAAGAGATACACATGAAGTCCAGGTCCCCACCTAGGCAGAGTCCGTCCTCAGACCCTCACCTGCCTGCTGTCCCCCTGGGAGAGAGGGCTGCGCCCCACACGGGCACAGCACAGGGGACCCCAGAAGCTTCATGCCTGGCCCCTCCCGTCTGCCTGGCGCTCGCGGGGCCGGGCGGGTGGG